AAAGAGAGACAGAGGGAGACGGGGAGAGAAAAAGAGAGACACATACATTCTTCGTTTTTTTTGCTGTTTTGTTTTTCGTTTGCACCCAAAATTTATCACTCCTGCCTCCGCCTTCGCTCCCCCTCCACGGCCGCAGCGTAGCTGAGGCGGGTCCAATTGTGTCTTTAAAAGCTGAGATGCCCGAGTAGGCTCAGGCGATGCTGGTGAGATGATGCTTCTGAGTAGGCTCGGGCGGTACTCTGATGGTGCTCTGATGATTCTCTGAAGACGCTCGTACTGGTCTTTCCACCAAGGCTAGGGGGTGGGGGGGGAATGGGTCTGCAAACTCTTGGGCCGGTCTCAACTGCTCCCTGGAGTCTATTACTGTCCATTCGTGAAAATGCAGGCGATAATCTCTCACCACCTCCGCCTCCTGACGCTGATCATGGCCTTGATCATGACCTTGGCCTTCCCCCGTCCACCTCACCTCAGCTAACCAACCCCCCCGTTCCCCCCCAGCCAGTCCTCGCAGAATTTGGAGATAATTCGGTCGACGTCACCTCTGGTATGGGCCTGATCTAGATTTTCCGTGGTAGCCTGCCATTGTGCAGCAATCTCACTCTGTATCAGATGCCGGAGCTGTTCAGTCACTTCCCCTTCCTCCACCCTGGCCCCCTCCATCTCCAAAATGCACCTCCTCCACCATATCACCCAGAGGATGGAGCGCCTTCCCAGACAAAACATGTTCTCCTCAAATGTGCTCCCTTGGCCGTTGAGGTAGTGTCCTAACAGGATGGCTCTCCAATCGCATGGCCATTCCGAGCTGGGGACCACATGCCACCAAATTCTGTCCCACCACCGCCATAGCAGCACAGCTGAGGAGCACTGCAGAAAGATACACTCATTTTCAATGAACCCCAATTCAGAAGCTTACAATCAAATCTCACATGGACACACAATGCTCAACTATTGTGATAACAAGTAGCCCGGGTTGTTAAAAAAAAAAAAAAAAAAAAAAAAAGACAGGATAAAAAGATAAGACTGTGTGAAGAAGAAGATCAAAGCATGGACTTATCTCAAGATGTATAAAGTACTATAAACAATCAATACAATGTTCACCTGCCTCTCCCTCTTCTCCCATGCGAACCCTTCTCAGCGTTCTCACCACCTCGATGTACCCAATCGCTTGGATCTTTCGACTCCTTCACCACCAAATCTGGACACAATATCACTCACCAAGTAAACCTCTCTATAGCGCCGGCTATCCCAGGCTAGCACACAAAGAAGCCTGAACTCAAAATAACATGTCCATCTTCCCCCCCTCAGACCTCTCTCTGAATTCCCTGATTTCTTTCCCCCCCCTTGTAACTGCCTTGTTCCTGCCTCTTGGTATGGATTGATCTTTGACTAGGTGGAAAAGTCTTTCTCACAGATTGATGCATCTGGTAAAGTGCTAGGTAACCAAGTTTTGCTGGTGCCCGGTTGGGTGAAGAGCCACTGACCTAGTTGCTTAGCTGATTACGGTAGAATGTGGTGGGAGGATATGGTTTTGTTCTGTCAAATTTGGGTTATTATTGTGTTCAAAGGGACGCTGGACCCGTCTTCCAGCAGGTGATGCTCCCCACCAATAGATTGGAGCCTTTTTTCAAAAAAAAAAAAAAAAAAAAAAAAAAAAACATGTCCATCTTCTGCGGCAGGATGGAGTCCTCTTCCTCCAAATCACGACCGCATTGCCTCCCTGAAGCTATGGCGACCTCTCTCATCTCCTGACCTCACTAGCACAAAAAAATGCCGCACTCTCTGTATGACACAAGCATCCACAGGGTGAAGTGCTGCTGGATGATGAACAATGGTCTCCCTCCTCTTGGAGTTCTCTTCCTCAGGTAGCTATGGACACCAGTCAACAGGTAAGCCTCCCAAGTTGCTGTGTATATGGACTGAAAGTTGCCCCAAATACAGGTATAATGACCATGTGTTCTATTTGGGGGAAGACGATAGGTGCAGACATGTGCGCTAACTTTGACTGTTCTATTAGCAAGGCTTCCCCTCGAGAAAATTTCAGAGGCCCAGCGCCGTATATAAATTGAATTGGCGGCGGGCGGCCTCCGAAAAGGGCCCGCCGCCGATAGCTGGATGTACTGGTGGTTTAAATCTAGTAACTACGCCTAAGCTATCCTAAGGTTATGGGTCTATGCCTACCAAACTCTGCTCTGTACGGGGAGCAGCACCCAAGCTCCTAACACCTGGCGGGGGCTGGAAAGTGAGACCCAACGCTTCCACAACCAGCCAAGAGGGACAAGCCAACTTTCTCAGTCGGTGAACCCGAAGTATGCCACACAGGGGGTGCATCATCATATTCTTATAAGAATTGAGAGCGAACAATTACACAATGGTGTTGATCGAGGCACGTTAGTGGAATTTCCCAGTTTTGTGAAAGCTTCAGATGGAAGATATACTCTGTGAGATGGTTACATCAACTTACATGGACATCGATGCTACATTCAGGATTGCATCATCATATTCTGCAAAGAATCCAGAATGAACAATGAAACAATGCCCAAGTGATCTCCTCAAACCACCAGTACTTGGCCCAGCTATCGGCCTTGGAAAAAAATAGAGTAGAAACGGTTTCTAGTCGGATGAATTTGGACGCTCCTGTAGTGACCCGTACATTTCCTAAAATCATGGCTCGTTAACGGGCACAACTTTAGGAAGTACCGCAGTGGTTTAACTATTGCTCTTCAGACGGACCTCCTTTCAGCACTGCTTGTCCCAAGCCCCCTCCTTGGTAGCACTACTCCGTCCAGCGAGTTGTTATGTACCCGATTGAACTTCCATCCACAATGAATTCACACGTTCCCATACACACATGCAATTACAGAGTAGACTCGGAGGAGGCAATCCACACAAAACCGGAGAGAGAATATGCACAGCGGAAGCTCAAAACACACAGAGAATTGAAAAACGAATTTCAACTCTGCAATCCCTCGTCCTCCTCCAATCAATCCAGAGTACTTGTTCCAAGAATCACAACCGCGTTTACAACAACCCCGAACAACCAGAAACAAGTGTTCAACGAAGTATGCAGGAGTCTTCTTCTTCCTCGCCACCTCATACGCCTGGCTATGGCTGCCGCAGCAGCAGTAACCCCACAGCTGTCACAACGTGCCAATCGGAACTAGCTCGTCGAGTTATGAGCGTCTTTGAAAAGAAGGGCCGAAGGCTAAGCCCCCAATGATTACAGCGCCAGCTCAGCACCCGCACGGAAGTGCAGCGCTGGAAGTCCAGATGAAGAAGGAGGCAACCGATCGAGCACTTCGAAGAAGACAAAGTTCCTCGAGAGGAGGAACAGCAGATATGGCTGCCAAGTGGAAGATGGCAGCACCCAAACCCAACAACACAGTCCTGTGGAAGCTCTCATGCAGAGCTGCGAAATAGCAGCAGTGCTATCTTCAACTTCGTATCCCAACCCCAGCTATGGCTGGGTTTTGAGGAAGAAGATGACCTCGCCCAAAATAGAGCAGCAGCGCTCCAGCAACGGACGGGCAGAGTTTCCCCAGCCAACAAAACGTGAAAAGACCCAAACCAACTTTCCTGCCCGCTACTTCTACCCTCTGCCTAGACCTACCAGGGACTCCAAAGGCCACAACCCAATACTCGTCTGCATCTAGATGGAAACAGGGGGGAAAGGGGACCTAGACCTATGACAAGGCAAAAGGAAAAGGCGGAATGGCCTTAAGGCTACCAAACAGAGACTAGTAGTGACAGACTTAGGGATCAAGTCCCATAGGGCTCAAAACTAACAAACAAAACATACAAATTACAGGTCAGGGGATCAAGTCCCGCAAGACTCAAAACAAGAAAACAAACTACAAAGCCAAACACTTAGTGTACAGCTCCACCGGGGAGCGAGGACCCACGAGCTACATAACCAATTACCAGCCATATTGGCGGAGAGGTATTAGCTAGAGGATCGCTAAACGTCCATAGTGGTGGAGAACGCAAAGACCTCAGAATCTCAGAGGGTTATGGTGAGATTATCAGATTAGATTGATTAGTTGAATGCGAGGGTATTAGCCTGGCAATCAGCTTATAGATAGCTAACAACATCCTGAAAATCAGATGATCAAGGTTTAGATTAACAGCATGGACCATCTAGTTGAATGCAGGGGTGTTAGCCTAGTAATCAACTTTGCTATAATCCATTGGTTCTGAAAATCTGATTAATTTCTGTTAGGACTGGGTATCAGTTAGACTCCTGAACTGCTTATCTCTGTATTTGCAAGCGTGATATGCAAGGGTCATGAACATCGATTCAGGTTTGCTCGCCTCGCACCTTTATCACACGCCTCCAGGCCAGCCCACTGAGCTCACCGCCAAACTCATGATCTGTTCCCCCTCGGCCCAAAACTTTGCCGACCCACCTCCAATGACCAGCCCTCTATGGTTTCTCCGTGCAGTCGCTGCCTTTTGCTGAGTTTTGTTGAGATCCCAATGACTGCTTGCTAAGGTTTCTCTGGCTATTGTGTGTGTGTGCTTCTTTTTTTTTTTTTTTTTTTTTTTTTTTTCACGCTGTTGTAATTTTACTCATCTGCTTCCAGTGGAGTTCGAACTCAGGTCTGCATTTCAGCACTCTGTGAATCCTTTCAGGTGTTGGTTTTAGAACCATTTTGAAATCCAGGGAAAGGAGAATCAGAAGTTGGAAATCTGTTCACAAATGACAAATCGTCGAAGGGGTACCCTCCTCGTTTAAGCCATCGGTACTCGGGAACTGCGTGCGTGGTGTGACGGTATATGTGGGGGGCCTGTATTCTCAACGTACCGACCAGCGTGCTCCCGGTCCAATTCTTCCTGCGCACCCCCCCCCCTCTGCTGCGGTACTGGGGTACTTCGGTAGTGACGGTTCCCGATTACTGACGGTTTAACCGTTAGATGCTTGGTCGTCTGGTTTTCGCTAGCCTCACTCCTTGTTCGTCATTGCTGTGTGTTGTGGCGGTGCTGCTGCAGGCGTTTTGCAGATGGTTTTCCAAACTTGTTCATTCCAAATGCACATGGCATTCGCAACCGCCATGTGGCGTTCTTGGCCTCGTTCAGCTCCCCCGCTGTCATATTTGAGCAGCTGTCTGTCATCTACGCACTTCCGCGCATGTTCGTATCCTCGTTCACGCTTGTCCTGCCTTTCTTTCCGACGGGGACTGTTGAGCGCATGGAGGATGAAGGTGATATCGCCACCGCTTTCACACTCTCTCGCATCTTGTCCAACATACCGCTCTCCCGAGGGGGCCCGACAAGTGTCGTCATTTTTGACATCCATGCTCTGCAGGTGAGGTGCTCTGCTCATTTGGCCAGGTTGATGTGTGATTGAAGTGCTTCTTTCCTCCTCTTGATTTGAACGACAAGTTGTTGAAATTCCAAACACCATCAATATCTCAACTGTAGAGTCTAAAGACTCTAAACCCTATAAACCTTCAACCACCGCCACCTTCCCCTCGAGAATCCAACATGCAACTTTCTGAAGACTTCGGATGTACAGCGCTACAGGACCATAATGGCTGGTGGCGCCAGCGAAACGAAAAATCAGAATGCTGCCATGGCAGGCATTGGCAGCACCTTTTTTTTTTTTTTTTTTTTTTTTTTTGCGCACAGGGAATCTGCCTTGGCAAAAAGAGGCTCGGAGGTAGTGGTGGTTTAAACCCTAAATCCTAAACCCTAAACCCTAAACCCTAAACCTGAAATTCTACACCCTAAATCCTACACTCTATGTCCTGAACTCCTAAGATGCATTCCTGATCCCTGAACCTTGAAGTTGAATCTGCCTTGGCAAAAAAAAAGAGGCTTGGGGGTAGCGATGGTTTTTAAACCCTACATTTTAAGCCCTATGCCCTAAATCCTAAATCCTACACCCTATACCCTAAACCGTACACCCTATACCCTAAACCCTAAGCCCTATGTCCTAAATCCTAAATCCTACGCCCTACACCCTACACCGTACACCCTAAGCCCTAAACCGTAAACCCTAAATCCTACACCCTACGCCCTAAACCGTACACCGTAAGCCCTAAACCGTAACCCCTAAATCCTGCACCCTACACCCTAAACCGTACACCGTAAGCCCTAAACCCTAAACCCTAACCCTGAACTGCTGAGATGCATTCCTGATCCCTGAACCTTGAAGTTGAATGACTTATCAAGCTTTTTTCTTTCTTTTTTTCTTCCCCAACTTCGATCCCCAACCGGACCCCAAGATCCCTACAGGACCATGCATCTTTCTGAACAGAACCTACCGTTACCTACGAACCTGCGTGTCTTTAACGACCGTACCCTAGGAGGTCCAGCCTGGGTTGGTATTTGTCAGACCCCTGACAATTTAGCAGGCTCTGCAGGAACCATCACTGTCAGGCGAATGTGATGTACATCATGTGCTGTATTTTTTCTGTGGATGTTTGGCACAGTCACTTTACAACAGAGCAGCCTCCTTCTGGGTACTTGTGTTTGTACATCACCATGCGTTTCAGACATTAAACCGGCCGTACGAGGTTTTTTTTTTTTTTTTTTTTTTCTTGTGGCAGATTTTGGCTGCGCTCCAATTCCAAAACCAACGAGTGCGTTGTTCGTTTTTTTGGTTCTTTTTGGCTAGCGCCATCTCCTGGGGTCTCGGCCTGCATTGGACCGAAAAAGCGTCCAGGAGGCCGCCGCAGGTAGAGCCCATCGCCATGCGTTTCAGACATTAAACCGGCCGTACGAGTGTGTTTTTTTTTTTTTTTTTTTTTTTTTTTTTTTTTTTTTTTTTTGTGGCAGATTTTGGCTGCGCGCCAATTCCAAAACCAACGAGTGCGGTGTTCGTTTTTTTGGTTCTTTTTGGCTAGCGCCATCTCCTGGGGTCTCGACCTGCATTGGACCGAAAAAGCGTCCAGGAGGCCGCCGCAGGTAGAGTCCACCCGCACGGAATGTAGTGGTGGGACCTGGTGGGGTGAACTTTGGTGCCGAAGTTTGCCTGGGAGACAGTGTGGTGGTTTAAGGAGAAGATCGGGTGTATTTCAGATCGTGTCTTAAGCCCCAAACGGGCCTGAACTCTTGATTTATGTGTGGCATCCTTAAAAGCGCAGGGGCCATGCTAATCTTCCTTCTCTGCATCGTTCTAATTTTAACGGATGTCCCATAGGACATGGGCCTTAACCACCCTGAATTTAAGTTTGGGCTGTCGATCTTGGCAGATCGTTAATTGAACTTAATTCCGTATAATTCACTATACTACAAGAATGATGGCTGAGTGGAGTGGTGGTATTTCTGACACTCGTTCCACTTGTTTGGGCTATGCAGGGGCAAGCGATAGAATCACACTCCATGGCAGGTCTTGGAATATGTGGGGGCAAACTAGAAACCTGTTTTTTTTTTTGAGTGTTAACCGAGCCCGCTAGTAGCCCAGCCTGGTGCTCCAATCTATTGGTGGGGAGCTGCACCTGCTGGAAACCAGCCCCAGCATCCCATTGATACGTCATGTCATCAGTCTTTCCGACTCTTTCTGACTCTTGTTTTTTTTTTTTTTAAATTATAAATCAGAGATTATCAGACTCCTTAACGGAGTTATTTTGACTCATCTGTCTGATTCCATCGGAATTCAAACTCAGGTCTGCATTTCAACAGCTCATGGGTGTACCAACTGAGCAGTTGGTCTGACAGGTATTTTTGCTCTCCCTTATGGCGGCATACTCGCACTTGTACTCTGCCAAAACACACAGAAGAATCATGGAAAGACTCTGGAAAAGCCACATGAGGCCTATTCACACTACCGTCTTCCCCCGAACACAAAAAAACACCCTCATAATGGCTGTACCGGACCGGAAAGATAGATTGTATACGGTCATTATCAGGGTGCCTTGCGTTTGGGGTGGAAGACGGTAGCACTTTGCTAAATGTATCTGACTGCAATTACGATCGGGTGCGGATGTATCTGACGATTCTGACCGCAATTATGTCGAGAGCTCAGTCAAAAAGGTCATATATAGCATGAGTATGCCCACAAACTCACACTTGTGACTCTGAGGCACTGGCAAATGCTACCGTCTTCACCCGAATACAACGCCCAGTCATTATAACTGCGTATTTGGGGTGAATTTCTGTCTAGATATGGCGGTGATAATGACAGGGCGTTCTATTCGGGTGAAGAGGGTAGGATGAAGGGTGAAAAAGGCGGCCTGGATGTATCTGATCGCAATCACATCCTTGTACACACTACTACTCAGTGTACTCACACATTGGCATGCAATCAGGTTGTCAGGCTGGCAATCGACATGTTTTT